TAAAGGTAGTAGGGTGTTTCAAGCTTCACTTACCAAGAAACAAGAGAGAGGAAGATGTGGAGCACCTTAGTCCTTCAAACAAAGTTCACCAAACAACTTGCTAGCACTAGAAGGAAAGTTTTTATGGAGTGAAATCTTGTTTATGGCCTTGATTGAGATGATTTGCTAGTAGAAACTTGAAGATTGGAGAAGTTTTCCTTCTTGCAAGAGTGAGAGAGAGAGCCGGCCAAACAAGAGAGAAAAATGGTGATTTTTTTTTGGTGAATTTTGGATATTTAATCCCTTGGTCAAATAAGTCAAGACAATGAATAGTAATTCTTAAAAGTTCAACCAATAAGAAAATGACACGTGGCACCTTATTAAATGCATTCCTATCCTTCTTTTCTCTCTTACATCAATCACTTCACACACTCTACTTATCCCTTAACACCCGATAAATTTTACACAGTATCCGAAACTTAACCTTATTGGCCGAATTTTTCTGAACTTTTCGCACTAGTGGGTCCCACGTCCACTATTTATTCTTAATTTTCTAAAATTCACCAATACTAAAAAAAATCATCTTAAAACTATAATTGCTCATAAAATCCTCTCAGAAAATATTTCTAAGCCTGAAAATGCAAAATTACGCAATTAAAGGGGAAATAACCCTAGGAAAAATATTAGGTTTTTTTTTTTTTCGGGCTCTCACAGATTATCCCCAAAGAACATAGGTAATTCAACCTTAAGAGTAACTGGGAAAAGGAATCCTACTCCAGTTCTCCTTAGTAGTCGTTCCAGGCTCATTGGTGGACAGTAACTTCTGTTGCTTCTAGGAGGTGGGAATCCCAAAATTTTCTTCTTCGCAGATCACTTTCTGATTGTCTTTACAAGACATCACCATCATAGAGGAGCTGAATTTCTGATGCACATTATGAATCATGGACTCCATCTTCTTGCCATTTACTTTCCTACTCATCTTGAAAATGTTGCTGGAAATTATTCATGGAGTCTAACTGCTGCTAAAAATTTCCTATGGAAGCCAGAGCCTTGTTCAACCTTGCTTCTGTTTCTTGACCTGGTCCTTCAAAGACTTAAAACAAGTAGTTTCAGCCATGATCAGGGGGTATTCAAGCAGCTAGAGTCAACCGCTTCATGCCAACAACTATCATGGACTCAAACATTGGAGTCCAAATTAAGTATTGATTTGGGAGAAAAATAAACTAGAGAAGGAAAGAATTAGTTCAAGAATGAGGAATGATTAGAACGAGAGAAAAAGAAAGAGATGCAGGGGGAAAGATTGACTCTAAGAAAGGAATGACTACCAAACTCCTTTCCTAACTAGTTTCACTAACTGAAGGAAATTAAACCAAGCTATCTTAGTATTTAGTTTCCTAATTCTTCTAATTTCTTGTTTTGGTGTCTTGTTTGTTTAGTTTTCATATTAGTTTAGGAATTAGTTTCCTTCATTTCTTTCTTGAGCCCATTCCGTTTGTTTGTTTATAAATATTTCGCTGCCATGCTATTTCTTCGATTGTGTGATTTGTTTTGATTATTTATCCTATGGGCTATTTTCCTACAAAGTATTAGAGGTCTGGACTTTGATTCTAGGGCTTGTTCATGAAATTGAAGCATGGATCAATGTTATTCATCACGTTGTGATGTTTTTATTTTTGATGGTAAAAAAGATTTTGAGATTTGGAGTTGGATGATGAAAAAAAATTTCAAGCTATTGGAATTTGGGATTTTGTCTAAAAGGGGTTCACAGAACCTATAGAACCTACGAATTATCAAGCAGTTTAAGAGTTAGAGAAGAATAAATAGTTAGATTGCAAGGCATTCCAATATCTCAACACCCAAGTCCAATTGCATGTAGCCAAAAACTTTATAGATGTAAATACAGCAACGGAGGTTTGGAAAATTTTGATGAATTTCTATGGTCATGGTGGAGAAGAATTTTGTGATGAGGTAAGAGAATTTTTTTTTTATGAGTCAAAGAAAGAAGAAATTGTAGAAATTATGGGTACACACGAAGATGAAAAATTTGTGGCCAAAAAAGAAATTTCACATGTGATGGAGAAAGAAAGTGAAGTCGTTGGTGATATGGAAAATGTAACTAAATATTGTGATAAGAGAGAATTTTTTATTTCATTGTGGTTGATGAATTTTTTGAAGCTAAAGATGCGATTGTTAGTGTGAAAAAATTAAAGGAAAAATATGGTGATGTTAAAAACATTGGAGGTGGCAACTATGATTTTCTAGTGTTGGGAAATTTTCTTGGTGATGTGGAGTAATGAATGGAGTTTGGATGAACATGTTTAACTTTTTTGACATAAGTGATCAAGGTAAGAAATTGTTTAAAAAGTATAAGTTTCGACCACTGTTACGTGTAAAGATGAAACTAAAAATCAATCATAAGTTGGAGTTAAATGTTGTGTCTACTGCAACTGAGTTTTTCATAGAGATTCAAGTTCGAAATGACATTGGAGTGAGCACAATAACGAGCATGGTTTAAGGAAGGCAATAAAGGAAATTAAACCCAACTATCTTAGTACTTAGTTTTCTAATTCTTCTAGTTTCTTGTTTTTGTGTCTTGTTTGTTTAGTTCCCATATTGGTTTAGGAGATTTCAAATCAGTTCCAAATAAGTTTCGATTTATAATTATATTTGTTTAATAAGTTTAACAATGCATAAATACTACTAGAGTAGTGGATTATTACTTGAAAAATAGAGTCGAGTTTTGAGAGTAAATTTGAGGGAAGGTCTCATAGTTTAGATTCGTAAGTTGTCGTAAGCGAAAAGTTACAATTTGATATTGCTATGATTGAGTTTTGAGTTAATAAATAGTTAAATGTTTGTTTGTATATTTATTCTCCTTCTCTTCCCAAATACTTTTATATGTGTTAAAATTGCTTTTGTTTCTTATTTGTGCCCTATTATAAAAAAAAAAAAAAAAGTCTTCCCTACTTATCTAAATGGGGCCAATGGGTGATAGAAAAAGCCCATGGCCTAGGTTGCCCGCCTCTAGGGGTGTCAATGGGTCAGATTTGGATCCGAACTCGGCTCAGGCCCGATAATTTTTTCCGAATATGGGTTGAGAAGTAATTCCGATACCCGGATCCGTTTATTCTAACAAAAAATAGGTTGGATATGGAATATAGGATTCCAACCCGGATCCAAACAATATATTAATAATTAAAAAATATAAATATTTCTAAATACATTCTTTTACCTAATTAACAATTTAGTAATGATTTTGTAGATTGATTTGTGGTTAGTTTTGTATTGACTATTGAGTTATTTGTGATTTAGTTTTGTAATTTTATTTGTTTAATTTTGGAGACGGATTTATGATTGGATTTGGATTTAATTTTAAAATGTTTAAATTTGAATTTTTTTTTCGAATAGACCTAGATCCGACCCACAGCCTGCCGAATCCAATTCCAAAACTCTCAGATCAAGACCTGTTGGGTATACGAGTCGGGTCTTGATTTACTACATAAAAACGGGTTGGGTTCAAAATTTTCAGTTTCGATCAGAACCCCGACCCATTGACAAGCCTAGCCACGTCCATTGCACTTGGGAGGGTTACCGGCCAAAGGTCTGTCTAAGTGGCAGGGTCTATGTAATAATTTGTGATAGTGAGGGTTTCCATTCGCAAACGAAAAAAATAGAAGAGGCTAAAAAAAAAAAGTCTTGCCAAGTCAGCATTCTACATGTCTTTTGACTTAAGCCATTATTAAAATCACGAAAATGATGTCCAATGATTCATTCAACTTTTTTTTTTTTGAGACATTCAACTTGAATATCCGATCTATGTGGCAATACGAAAAGACAATTTCAGTTCCCAATCTTAGTTTAATATAGCCCAAAATGCAACGAAGCCCTTTTATGATATATTCCTAATACACTTGTCCAACCTCATCCGGTCCATGGACCAAATGAGCTAGACCTCTGAAGTATCACTTCTAAGAGCATTATCTCTTCGTGTGTTTTTCATCTGTGTTTTTAAACTTGGATCGGACCTGTTGGTTCGATCGATCAAACTGAAAATCGATCAAGTGTCTAGTCTGAGTTATCCTAAAAAATTGGATAGATAGAAATTCGATCAAAAATCAGATTTGATTGAGTTTGACCAGAAAAACTGGAAGAATCTATTGGTGTCAAAGTTTTTTTTTTTTTTTGAAAAAGTCAAAGCATTTTCAGTATTATGTTTTGAACCCTAGGTTGTTAAAAATTATTAATATATCTCAAATATTTCATACTTTATAAATATTGTCCTAAAGTTTGGTGTTATTTTTCAATCAAGTCCATAATTTTAATTCTAAACTTGTTAATGTTCATTAAATAATATAAATTGCTACTTGATCATTCTAATTTGTTTGTATTTTCTTGTTAAATATATTTGAACATCAAATATATATGAATATACATTTATTAATATTAACATGTGCTTAAGTATTTTACATACAATATTTAAATTTTTAAATAATTTTTATTTATGATGTTATCTGATTTAACTCCGATCGAACCCATTAACCCCTGACTCCTGAATTCGACCGAGTTGATACTCAGTCCGAGTCTAAAAACAATTTTTCATGTGTTGACATCCACATGATGGCATCTATTTGTGGGATTACATGGCATTAGAAAAAATCGAAGGTTTCCTATAGTTATTGGTCCAATTGAATTAGTGAGGAGAAAATGTATTATTTTGTCTTGTGTGGACTTTGGAGCAAAATATTGAATTTTACCCTTTTATGCTTTCTCGCATGCGCATTCACACATACACACACATTTATTTATAAACACACGAGCCTCTCTCTTTTACCCTTTTATGCCTGCTGGCACGTACACATGCACATACACATGTTCGCATGAGTATTGAGTACGCAAAGAGAGAGATTGGTACATACTATTGCTTTGTATAAGGCATGAGAGTGGGAAGGGACAACTTTTAGCAAACGCAAAAGAATTGTAATGTTTCTAAAGATTGTAGCCTTTGTGTGTAGAATTAGTACTTGTCTTTGCAGGGGATCGATCCCGAGACTTAAACTATTGATGCCAGTTAAGTAACTATCCATTCGCTATTGTCATTCGGAAATTAGTTTACAATTATCCCTTTTCCTCGAAACAAAAAATTCCTACATGAAAATCTTTTGAAAGTAACAAACAAGTGCATTATGTCTTATACGAAGTATGGATACAAAACTATTGAACAACAGGTAATCTGTCTAGCTTATTTACAATAATAGTTAGACTTACGAACCTTTTGCTTTGGTATGAAACCAATTCTTGATAGAGGAAAACATCTCGAGAGAGCCCATTAAAGAGTCTAATATGGAAGTTAGGAACCCAACTTTGATCCAAAAGATTAAATCATTAGGTCTTGGGTTCTTACTTACATATTAACCACTCTTTCTCCATCTCTCGGATCAATGTGGGACGTAATCTTTTTACTCATGAACTTAACACCTCTGATGTATACGAGTCATTTTAGAAGCAAAACAACTACATGGGTAATATTTTATTAAATTTAAAATTCTATCCTAAAACCAATCCATTTATAGTTGAAGTGCAAAATTCCAAACGACATATTTTGTATATACGTAGTTTGGGAAATGTCTCAAATTGGATGATGATTCTCTACTATTGATAGAGCAATTGCAATTGATGGTTTAAATAGTTTTAGTCCGAACGCTCGCTAGATGAGATTGATTTTGAGACACAATTTTTAATAAGTGATAAAACTTGCTGTATTATTAGGTACGTTATTATTATTTGTATTTTCAATGTCTTAATGGTTAAATATTTGTGTTAGTAGTTACATTTTGTAGTACAATTGACACTGATATTTTGTGACAGGCTAGGCACTGATGTGCTCTCTTTAGGCTGATGTTGTCTACTTTAATAATGAACAATCGCAAGCTCATCTGCGTAGCAAAGTATGTGGATCCTATTTTGTAAGTCATCAATTTTTGGAGATGGACTAATCCAATTTTGATACAAATTGATAAAGGAATACATCACTCCAGAGACGTTCCATGAAGACTTTAAGGTTACATTTTGTAGTACAATTGACACTCATACAAATTGATAAAGGAATACATCACTCCATGACGTTCCATGAATTGATATCAATTGCAACTTGGAGCTACGTGTTTATATATATATATATATATATATATATATATAGGTAGAGATTTACACAAACCACAAACATGGAATCTGGTATGATAAATTTGGGAAGCTCTCTAAAAGTACCCTATGTTGGCTAAGGAGAAATTTGCATCAGTTCCACCCCGATACATACGACCTGATCCAACCAAACTTCATGGGGTCTCCACAGAGGAAATCCCAGTAATTGACATGCAAAGGTTGCTTTCGGATGAATCAGTGAATCCAGAGCTTGAAAAGTTGCATTTTGCCTGCAAAGAATGGGGCTTCTTCCAGGTTTGTCATTTTGTATTTGTATATGCATATATTAGGTATTGTTGTTGGCCTAATAAGGGAGTCTGATTGTAATAGTATTTGCTCAAAATCTACTAGTCATTTCAATTTGGTTTTTACCACAACTTTAACTTACTTTCAAGGGAATAAAATAATTCTGCAATATTTATTATGTTAATAACTATGACTTTTCAGGACTGTAGGTAAATGATATATCTTGCCACAAGTTATTTTTTTCATATTGAAATATTTCTTTTCTTGTAATTATCCAGAAATTTTATGTCAAAAGCAAGCATGCCTACCCTAATATATTGTATATGAACTCATTTGGTTTTCTCTAGTAGTAGTACATAATGCATGACTAGAATGTAATAGGAGTGATCTCCTTTTCTTTCCTACTTTTCCTAGGATCTTCTTTGAATTGTTATACAAGGACAATCATCTAATTTAAATGGATATACATGCCCGCTGTTAAAATGGAGAAGTATTATAATAGTCAGCACCAGATACTTAGTGACTGTACAACTTGTCACCAGCTGATTAATCATAGAGTGAGCTCTTCAGGAGTGGACAAACTGAAACTAGAGATGCAAAAGTTTTTCAATTTGACGATTGAAGAGAAGAAGAGATTTGCCCAAGAACCGGGCGATGTAGAAGGATATGGACAGGCCTTTGATGTATCTGAGGAACAAAAACTTGACTGGGCTGACATGTTTTACATGGTCACTCTGCCAACTCACTTGAGAAAACCTCATTTACTTCCCAACCTTCCTCTTCCATTCAGGTACAAGAAAATTTGCACACACATTCATATCATTGTATTTAGGATGCATTTGATAAAATTGAAGTTTGAAAACTGAAATCTAAAATCTGAATTCATTAAGTTATTGAATTATTAAGTATTAAATCAAATACATTTGAGTGTACATCACATTCGGTGATAAGTGAAAAGTTTATCACTTATTTTTTATAGCAAGTTTTGCTTAAAAAATTTAATGACACTTAATTAATTCAGATGTTTAATTTTTGGTTATCAAATGTATCTGAATATATTAAGATCTAAATACATTAAGTTTAAATGATGAATTGTGTTGTCAAATACACGAGGGCTATAGTAACATCACACACAGTATAACGTGTGTTTTAAAACTCCGACCGGACCGGCCGGTTCGATTGGTCAGACCGACCGAGTTATGCTAAAAAATCGGGTAAGTAAAAACCCGGTCAAATCTGGGTTTGACCGGGAAAAAACTGGATTTTCTGGTGCAATCAGCATTTTAAAAAAAAAACTCAAACTTTTTTAATATTATGTTTTGACCCCTAGATTGTTAAAAATTATTAATATACGTCAAATATTTCATACTTTATCAATATTTTCTTAAAGTTTGGTGTTATTTTTCAATTAAGTCCATAATTTTAATTCTAAACTTGTTAATGCTCATTAAATAATATAAATTGCTACTTGATTGTTCTAATTTCTTTGTATTTTCTTGTTAAATATATTTGAAACATGAAATATATATGAATATACCTTTATTAATATTAACATGTTATTAGGTATTTTACATATAATATTTTAATTTTTAAATAATTTTAATTTATGACGTCATCCGGTTCAATCCCTATCGAACCCAGTTCAACCCATTGACCCTTGATCTCTGAGTTTGACCGAGTCGATACCCGGTCCGGTTCTGAAAACATAGAGTATAATTTTGGAAAGTCATAAGCGTCTAAAATTCTCTACACTTGTCTAAAATTTTAAAATTTTGTGGGTGAAAATACTTAAAAGCTAGGGATAAGATGATCATAGACTAGTAATAGTTTAAGAAAATAAGTGGTTAGTAGCAATCTATAACTTTGCAAATCACCGTACCTGTAATCTTTCTATTTTCTTTTACATAAATTGTCAACGTCTTGATATATATAAAGAAACTGAAAGTCTAGAATTGAAATTGTAAAGAGATATAATGATGATTTTTATGATTTATAAACTGGATTTACAATAAGAGACATTATTTAAGTGTGGTGGTTTGATTCTTTCATGTATTTTAATTGATGGAAATATGAACATTTTGGTCCTTTATTATAGCAGTGGTGGTTAATTTGGTTCTTTATATACTACCGCTTGCTAATTTATTCCTTATCTCCTCTGCTCCTTTATTTCTACAGTGGCAATGTCGATTATCTTTGCAATACCAACATTGCATGGAAGTTTATGAATTAAGGGTTGCAATTAGAGACTTGGGAAAATTAAGAGAGGGGAAATCGATAGATTACAAATACTGCATTGATTTTATTTTATGGAAATCAGGGATTAATTGGTAGACGGAAGTACGCAATAAATCTTCATCACTGAAATAAAGGACTTGAACTATATAATTCCCTTCTAATAAGCAAAGTAATAAAGGACTTGATGAGGTAATTAAGTACTTTGTCTTAAATCTTAGAGAACAGTAAATAAAGAAAGATGTAGATAATGGTTATGCAGCATCTTAATCACTGTTTGTGAATTTTGTTTTGTCGAAAAAAATAATAATATATGTCCCATTAGTTGTTGAGGGGTAAAAAAGACGATAACCACTCAATTATTCTTTATTCTAGGTCACAATTTGTTTATAAAAAGTATTCCATTGATGACTAAAATGCTTTATTCAGAAAAAAAAATTTTGATAGTGCTGGTGGGTAGCCCACCAAAACTAAACATATAATTGGTTAACAGAAAAAAGCTTTTACATATAATTGAAACCGAGGAGGCAATAATAAATCCAAATGCTATTACATCAAAAATTATAGCAGAGAATATTCGAGTGTACGTAATATATATATATATATATTTTATTATGCAAATGCATTTATTTGGAAGTCGTACTGTCGTAGGGGCTGACGTACAACATGAAACATCGAATGCTATCCCTTCAATAAAATTCCATGTGTAATGATCAAGACAGCTTATCAGCCACTCCTTCAAAGAAAGAAAAAAAAAAAGACAGCTTATCAGCCGCCAAGTGTCCTAAGGATTGAATATTTTGATCATTATCTCTCTTAAAGTCTCCACATGATGGGCCTTTTCTTCTTATTTTTTTTACCTTGGAGGCATTCTTAATGGTTTTCCAACATTTCTCTTCTTTTAATCATATGGCTATTGGCCACCCAATGACTTGAAGTCTTAGCGGAGTGCGAGATTAAAGATTCAAATCTTACCCCCCATCACTTTGCTACTATATGTGATTTTCTCAAATCCATATGAGTGTGTACGTTTGACTCAATGGTGATTCAATTCCCGTCGGTTTTTTAATGGATTCAGTTGAGCTTTCTCCTAAAATAGATTAGAGTAGAAATAACTTGATCCGATGGTGATACAATCCTCGTCGGTTCCCCAATAGATTCAGTTGGGTCTCCTCCTAGAATAGGTTAGAGTATGAATAGAGTAGATCATGACGATTGACATAAAATAAATTATATCATGTCTCTCTCTCACACATACAGGAAAATATATCCTCACTTGCTTTTCTTAAAGGGACAATTTCAGAAACCTCTCCTCAGGTTTCTGATAATTTCATTGAGCTCCTTCGAGGTTATAAAAATAACATTTACCTCCTTTGCCCACATAAAATGCTAATATTAGTTTTAACAT